AGTTTTTGGTATTAAGAAGCTTTTTATTTCTTACCACCATTCTCTTAATTGCGTGGCCTTCATGTTTTATTCTGCCCCAATTTTATTTTAAGCAATTCGTTTCCAGAAATTTCAGACTGAGATTGTACCAAAAGAAGGTGCCACGTTTCTCTTTACTATCATTTCCCCATTCCACGGTGGAGAGGTGTCAAAGTGGTTTTGTAGTTTGTTTGTACCACCAAGTTGCCTGCTTGATTTTCTCTTGGTTTAATCCAGAATTTACATTATTTAATTTATCCGACACATATATTTCACAATTTGTGTTCTAATGGTGTAGACATTTCCTCATTTTGGTGATTAACTATTCCTTATGTTTAAAAATTTCCTCTATTTACTTCTAAATAGAATGTTCTTAGGAGTTTCCTTATCTCACCACCATTTAATATTCTTGTTAAGATGATGAACCTAATAAAATAAATTTTGCTACCTTTTGTAATAATTTCTAAAAACTACTTATATAGATATATCAAATTTAAATAATTATGGTTCACATGTAAACCATTTCAGTTACATGAGTTATGCTTTATTACCTTTGAAAGCAAACATTTTCTTAGAGATTGCTTCATTGATTTTAGTGTTCATATATTAATATTTCACTTTTAGGAATGAGTAAGAGATTGATAGCACTTTAAAAACTTTTTAGTGGCACTTTGGGAGGCATATATTACTGTTAGGTGTTTGGTTTTAATTGTCTTAACAGAAACCTAACCAATGAATTTCAAATCAGAAATCCGAACCCAAGTCAGTCTAACTCTGTGATCAACATTGTAGGAAACATGACATTCCTGTGCTTGTGATAGCTGTAATTCCTGAATTTTTAAAACAAGGCATTTCAATGTATAAGAAAGTATCTACCGTAATGTTATATACATTGACAGCACTCAAACCATGTGTCCACTGATTTCAATTTGTAAACTGTAATGTATGTAGCAGGTGAGAGGAAATTGTTGGCTTCTCCTTGGAACTTCAGTGGAGGAACTTTATCATTCTTAACTGGAGGAACTTTATCAAAGTTAAGTGGAGGAACTTTACCATTCTTTCAGATGCTTACAGGACTGAGACAGACTTCCAGATAGTGACATCTGCAACTCTCCGAAAGAATTATTTCACAATGTGTGACATTCTTCCTTAAGGGAAATTATAAAACAGGGCTCAGCAATGGGCCTTATTATGAGTTTGAGCAGTGCATATCCCAGGAAGGGGTTTGGGACCAGTCAAATTGACCTTCCTTTTATTTTTGCCTTTAAAATCGTAAATAGCATTCTTTCTGAATAAAAAGAAAAACCTGTTTTTCATATTTTTAATTGTGTGTATAATCTAAAGAGAGGTAGTTTTTATGATTAGCATGGAATATGTGGTTGAAATCACTATCATTCTCCAGGCATCCCCAAACGTTTCACACAGGGGGCCAGTTCACTGTCCCTCAGACCGTTGGAGGGCTGCCACATACTGTGCTCCTCTCACTGACCACCAGTGAAAGAGGTGTCCCTTCCTGAAGTGCGGAGGGGGAGCTGGATAAATGGCCTCAGGGGGCCGCATGCGGCCCGCGGGCCATAGTTTGGGGACGCCTGTTGGAGACAAACATAAATTTTAATTCTGGCTGAGATATTTATACACTACATAATGCTGAGAAAGTTACCTAAGTTACCTAAAGTTTTGAAGCATAGTATACATATATGTATTTTATTCCACACATTTTTCCATAAAGCTTTACATTTATACTTTAAGCAGGGCACAAGAAAACACTATGCCATTACATCCAATAGACATTTCTCTTCCTCAGTAGAGTTTAAGACTGAGAATACTTTTACAGCACATTGCAGTACACATCAGCATTTGAGTTTCCTTTTGATCAGTTCTACCTATCTATAGACACTGATACTTCATTTTGCAGTTGTTATAGAAGTCCTTCAAAGAACAAACAACTATTAGCTTATTATTTATTTATTTATGAGACGGAATCTTGCACTGTCACCCAGGCTGGCATGCAGTGGCACTATCTCGGCTCACTGCAATGTCCGCCTCCTGGGTTCAAGAAATTCTCCTGCCTCAGCATCTGGATTAGCTGGGACTACAGGCATACGCCACCATGCCCAGCTAATTTTTTTTTGTATTTTTAGTAGAGATGAGGTTTCACCATGCTGACGAGGATGGTCTCCATCTCCTGACCTCGTGATCTAACCACCTTGGCCTCCCAAAGTGCTGGGTTACCGGCGTGAGCCACTGCGCCCAGCCAATTATTAACTTAGTTTACATTTAAAAAATTCTATCTTCAATGGTTATATGGGTCTGTAGACACTTCTATAAATCTAGGATACGTTATGATAACTTAGTGACATGGTGGTTTTGAATGCCTGGAATATTGTCAAGATATTTGTCTTAAACATTTTCATGATATTTCATCATCCAAGAAATTATTTTATCACTGCTCATAAGTTTTTTTGAAATATATATTTAAAAGACATGTAACTTAAAAGTTCGTGTGACGAAAGTTTGTGTGAAGAATGACAATAATGAAATAAATCTTCACTATTCATCTATTTTGGTATAAATAAAAAATGCTACTTACTCTTTTGAACTATATCCATACGAATAGTGTTGTCACATTTTTTACTTTTTTATATTTATAAAAAATGTAAAATTTATTTTCCAGGTTGCATGTGAAATATATTTTTTCTGAAAGTATACGAATTGAGTACTTTTTATATTATAATCACTATTATGTGCATACATATGTAACTATGGAATCAAGTCACTAAGAATCCCTGCTATCATAAATCTAGTAATTTATTGAGGAAAATGAAAAAATATTAAACAGAACTTTGTTTGGGTAAAACAGTTACCACATGGGACATTTACAGAAATAGGTGCATAGAAGATGAAATAAATTATGCCTATTTTTTAAAAAAGTTTTAAAATAGGCTATCTAATCAATGGATAATCTAACTACATTTATATTGTATTTATATGTACACTTCATATGTACATGAAATGAATGAAATAATTTAATTTACTATACTAGTTGTATTCAAAATATAATTATATGCTAATCATACTCAAAATATAAAATATAATAATAAATATAAACCATAATTTTACTTATAATTCTAGAAATGTTTCATCCAATATGTAAATTTAATATATATTCGTTAGAAAATTATAAGATACATCATTTCAAAAATTATTTGTATTTTAAGAAAGTTGATGTGCCACATTTAAAGTATCATTTATTAGATTTACATGTTATTGTTTAAATTTGCTTGTTATATTTGTCAATATGTCTAAGTAACCAGATGTGTTTGAAATGCTTGGGAACATCAGATATGTCCAATTTCTAAGTACATAATAGACTTATGGTATCAAATTTGAAGAAAAATATCTAAGCCTAATTTCTGCAGGAGCCATGGGGCCCAGTTTATGTGCATTCTGCTTTTGTGATCTCTTCTACCCTATACTCTATGTCCATACAATTCTAAAATAGTTCAATTTTGGTTCTAGGGAAAGTGCAACACAGTAGAGAAATTTTTATATCCACCTTTTACTTTCCCCAAATCCTTGGGTTCTAACCCTTTAGAAATGAGTGCTTTAATTTTTTAAAGTCATTTGTATGTTTATAACAATTCTATTACAGTTTTCAAAACATTTTAGGAAAAATTTATAGGCAAGATTTGATCATTATTTCCAGTGAAAACATTTATAAAAATACACATAGCTTAATGAAATTCACAATCATTTCAAGAACTATTGACGATTTTCACTATGCTGCAGTTTAATAATCAGCAACAGTTAAGATATACCTATTTCTTAAGATATGCCTATTTGCTAGCATAGCAGGAAATTGAAGATCAAATATAACTTTCGCTACTACCATTTATTTATAGAAAAATGTAATTTCTGCTTTTGTAAAATCCAAATGTTCCCTGAGTAGCTTTGTTGATAAATTCAAGGCTACTTAGAATAATTGAGTTGATAGTGTCTGTATACTTATTTAATACTATGAACACTAGACTGTAAAATTTTTTACATTAGTTGCCATTTTTTAAAGAAAACCAATGGTATTTAATAATCTTTTATGTACTCTAAGAAACCTGATAATTATGTTAGTTTATTAAGTACTGGAACTGAGAAGTACATAAATAACATTCTAATTTAAATATCAAATTTTACAAATAAAAAAGTGAGCAGCAGATAAGAAAGTGTGTGAAATAAATTGTGAAGTAATGATAATGTATTTCAAAATAAGTATGTTCTCATGAATTACATATGAATTCTCATGAAATACATATGTAATTCTCATAGAATTACATATCTAGTAATTCGTATAAAACTGAGTTTTATATGTGTTGCTATGTCTGATGTAGTGATTAAAGACTACATAAAAACATTGTAGCATATTTTCCCTCCATATATTTATCTTTCTATCTCATTTTACCTGTACCTAATGAGGAGTAAGAAAAAAAAAAGAAACTTAAATGTGATTATTTAAACTACACAATCAAAAGTTTTTTCTTTATTCTATTGGCAAAGTATAAATGAACTACTGAATAATAAATATACTATAAAGGCAAACTACTGAATCACTATTGTTAGCAGATTTTTTAAAACATTTGAAGAATTGTAAAGTAGACAACTTGAAATTGCATGTTTTTAAAAATTAAAACAAAATATCATATGGAGCTCACAACATAAAAGCATGTAATTAATATAAATAGACTAAAGTTACTTTTGTTGATGTTTCAAAATAAGATGAATGCATGACAAAAATTATTATATATTATGAAGTTTAATATATATAATTCTTGCTTATTGAATATAATATAGAATTACAATAAGTATATAAATTATAAATATTAAATATGTTAATATATAATGTATGAAATATTGTAAAATATATGAAGTAATTACATATTTTGAAACAATGATATATTGTTTAGATTTTGTAATTTATAATGTGTTCTTACCTCACCAGAGCCTGCATTTTCACAAACATAAGTCTCATAGTATTGAGAGAACTCAGGAGCATGATCATTGATATTGAGAACTTGCACATACACAGGGATCGAAGAGATCTGTTCTATATTGTCTGCAATTTGAATATATACAATTTAACAATTTATTATATATTTTTATAACATAATATATTTTTATATATTATATATTTAAAATTATATACAATTTTTAAATTTAAAATATTTTAATACTGTTTTTAGAAGCTAAGTCATTAAAATTACACTAGAGGCTATGTGGTGTATTTTTATTTTACTTGAAAAAAGCTATCTGAGGACAGAATATCTATGATTCACATATTTATCAACAATACAGCCTAGAAAAAAAAATTCTGTGCTCAGTATATCCAAACCAAGCAATATTTATTGGGTGCATTTTACCTGCCATAGGCTGTAATAGGGGATGAGAAAAAGTAGTAAAAAGATATGTGTACAGACAGCTTGCAAGAGTCCAGGAACTAAAGTTTTGTATTAATTCATTCGATCTTGATCAACACATGGATTATTATCCTCCCCAATTTTACTGATGAAAACATTGATAAACCGAGTACAGTTAAATTACTTGCCTAAGATTATAGCTGCAGTGCTGTAACAAAAATAGCAATCAGTTCTGTGAACCACTGAAATTTAGAATGTAGCTTTTAAAAACAAAGAATTAAAAAGTCTATATTTTAAAGTTACATAGTTATAATAAGATATATGTGAAGTTTTTATATAAACATTGAGTTGTGAAGATTTTCTAAGTGAGCCAGGAAATCCAAAAAACCTAATGAAAGAATATTGTGGTTAAAACGTTTAAATCTTTCAAATTGATATAAAAAAGACATTTCAGAAAAAAATACGTAAACTAGAAATTCACAGGAGAGAAAATTCGATTTATATTAAAGCAGACTTTCTCACTGCCACTACTGTTAATATTTTAGACTGGATGATTCTTAGTTATGGAGGATTCTCCTGTGGATTGTAGGATGCTTAGTGGCATCCCTGACCTCTCTTCCCTAATTGTCTGCAGCATCCCTCCCACCCCAGTGTGTCAATCCAAACTGTGTTTAGACATTGTCAATGTGCCTGGTCGATGTTAGGAGCAGAAGTGTTGGGCCAAATGGCCTGCAGTTGACACATTGTGCTATCATGATGTTCACACAGCCTCTCACCACAGGTAAGAAGACTGGCGGGTTAGTCCATGCCATTTGTGTCATATGTGATAAAACAGTACCCAGTGATGGCAGAATGCTGAAAAATAACAGCATAAACCAACTCTAGTAATGGATGATGAAATATAAACTACTCATATCTGTGACCCAATCTGTTAAAATGAAGCTAAAGTCTAAGCTATAAGTATACGAGAAAATGATCCAATTAAATACATTCCAGAGTTATTTGCATGGCATCCAAATTATTATAAACAACTCAAATGTACAACAGAAAAGAGTTGGGGAAAATAAATTGCAACTGAACTATGACATTATGTGGATTTATTAAAAATGTGTGAATCTAGCCAGGCATGGTGACTTGCACCTCTAAATTCCAGCACTTTGGAAGGCCAAGGCAGGAGGATCACTTGAGCTGAGGAGTTCAAGAGCAGCCTGATCAACAGAGTGAGACCTCGTCTTTACTAAAAATCCAAAAAATTAGCTGTGTGTGGTAGTGTACATGGTAGTCTCAGTTACTTGGGAGGCTGAGGTGGGAGAATTGCTTGAGCAGGGGGCTGTGGCCATGGTAGCGGTCAACTCCTTAACCTCAGGTGATCCACCCACCTCGGCCTCCCAAAGGGGTATGGGGCATTGATTCTTTACTTTGTCTATGTGTTTTTATTTAAAATACATGTGCTCTTTGTAATGGTAATTTGAAAGAGCAATGCAAATTAAAAATTACAGAGCTGATTCTCCTTGTTGAAAACAAGGGAAATTTTTTTTTCCTTTCTTCCTTTTTTCAGAGCCTTTATAAACACACACACACACACACACATACACAGAAAAAACATTGTAGTTGTAAGTTCTTTGTCTCTTTGAAGTGTATGGTAATCTTTTAAAAGTTCAATAAGCTTGCTGCAAGCTTTGGCATCCAGGATTGCATTTCTCAAGTAATGGTGACCATCTCTTTGAAATGTAATCTTCAAGGTATACAGCACCCCTATATCCTAGATTTGTGAAAGGATAGGAAACTAATTCTAGCAACCAACTTGTTCTAAGTTGTAGAACTCCCTCTTGTCATCAAGACAGGAAAAGTCAAGTTGTCCTTTGGATAAAATCAATTAGCAAAAGAAGGTGGTCACTTGAACTATCCAGCGAATATAGAGTGAATTCTATGTGACAAATGGTGTTAGTCTTCATACTTGAACATCTAGACAACATTTAACTTGAGACATGTATATAATGGATTGTATCTATTTGACTACATAAAAAGGTGAAATTTCTTTTCATCTTGGGCATCTCTTCCATTTCCTATGATGAACATTACATTGTGTTTTATTGATTTCCAGTAATAAAATTTTTCTCTCTGTTCTACCTTTGCAGAGAGGTTTTCTGGGCTGGGATGAGATTTTCCTTGTAATTATATTTTCCCAACAATAATAGTTCCAATTAAGATAGAAATTGAAATTTTCAATTAATGAAAAATTGAATTTGTAAGATTTATTACACACACACACACAAACACACACACACACACACACACACACACACATCCACGCCTTTTGGGAAATACGGAAACCATTAGTATTTATCATTTTGAGACTCTTCTCTATTGTGTGACATTTAGATTGAAAATAGATTAATGAAAATAAAAAGATATTTCTATTGATTTCAAAAAGAAATTAATCAGAAAACTAAAGTTTGTATTGTTATGGTTTTTACACATACATCATCATAGAATATTTTTGCTTAAGTAAGTTATATAATGTAATTCACTTGTAAATAAACTGAAGGAAAATTATTGAGAAATTCATTTAAAGTTTTTATCTTTGTGTTACTAAACTTTGCTTGAAATTAAATTCAAATTAAAAATTAAAACTTTGGTATTACCGTACTCTCTCTCTCTCTCTCTCTCTCTCTCTCTCTCTATATATATATATATATATATATATATATATAACCTCACAGCTGCACTTTAAAAGAGTTGGTAGTTTTATTCATTTATCTGGCATGCTGATAAATAGCATTGTGCTTAATTTAGGAAGCTTTCCAGAAAAGAGACTAATGCACAATGAACTTCATTTGCTGGACAAAAAAATGTTAAAATGGAACATCTCTTTCCTATAATCGGTATAATTGTTATGGTGAAAGCTTTTCAAGGTAGTTAACAAATGGAGCTAGGTGCTTTTTAAAACAGTTTTATGTAATGTCCTGTTTTCCACTGGTCAGGTTGTTTATTTACGTTGCTATTGAAGCTTAAAAGGTCAAACCTAATTGTTTTTGGTTCAGTATTGATTGCATGGTAGTAAAAAAAATGACACTTACATGTTTTTCCCATATAGATATAAAATGGGATTAATGATGTAGAATTGTTTTAAATATTAGAAAAAGAAAAAAAATGAAAATTTGTTATCCAGTGTTACAAAAGCTAAGTATAATATGATTAAAAAAGAAATTGTGTAATTGTTTAAGAAGTATGGCAAACTGTATTGGATCCAAATGAGTACTTACATTTTTCTGTGGCTGTAATACTTAGGTTGTACCAGGCACTGATTTCCCGATCCAGTGGGCTAGTTGTAGTGATTGTGCCATTGTCATCAATACTGAACATTTTGCTTCTAGCAATAGAATACCTGAACCCAAAGAAAAGTATTCCTTAATGTTTTTATTATATCTATATAACAGTGTGACATAGTACTCTTTAAGCAGTAAGATGTCTTAATAAGACATACATGCTCTACACAGTCAATACATAATATTGACAATTTTTAAAATAGTATATTCCTGTATTTAAGATTCAACTCAGTAGGGAAAGAAAAAAATGTAAAATGACTTTAGGTTTAAATTGATGAATGCTAAATCTAAATAACATCACTCATTCTCATGTCAAAAAAGAATGTTAATAGATTAACGACTTGCTTTACAAATGGCAAAAGCCATTTGTGAAATGAAGAGAAATACAAATAAGTGGGGGTAAAAATTAATGATCGTGAATCTTTTTTTTTCTATGAAGCAAACTAAAATAGATCTTCAGCCTAGACTAGTACTGATCTCTTTCCTACGCCACAGGTGCTGCTTGCTAATCTGTTCATTTTACCAGAATTACTTGACTTGTTATATAACAACTGTTTTGGTTTAAAGAAAACAATTTGATAAAGAGTAAATGCTATATAATAGACTAACATATTTTATATTTTATAACATTATATATGTTCTATATAATATATATGTTTCATTATATATTATGTATTATACATATATTTATATTTAATATATGATACATATGTTTTATTATATATTATACACGTGTGTATATGTATGTGATGTATCACATCATGTGTATTTATTATATATTACCTTTATTTTTACATATAAAATATATATTTGTGATATATATACATGTAAAACAAAAGTAAAATATAAGAGTTCTAATGTGCTTGTAGATTGATTACGCATGGAAGAAAGCCAGGTTACAATGTACCTCCATAAAAAAAAATACTGAAAAATGATCTCCAACTCCACAATGAAAGAAGCGTTTGAAATACTCTGCATGTCTCATCTACATGGAAATAATTAATAATAAAAATCAAAGAGGAGTAATAACTAGGGTTCGGTAATGGTTTCTCATTGAATGTATGTTCCTGAAGATTTTGATGAGATATCGATGAAGTTTACCATAATGACGTGGCAAAGATGAAAATATTTTAATTTTGAATTCAAAAGTTTCCAAAAATAATGTACTACTTTGTAACTTGGTATTCAGTAAGGATTTAGTAGAAATTGCAAAGAACTAAGTTTTAGAGGAGTTCAGTTTTAACTGTACTCCATTTTAAATATTTATAAGTATTTTCTCCCAAATATCCACAGTGGTTGCATTTTGCACATAATATACTTGTTGGCAAAATTATACAGTGTTTTAACAGTTGCTATTTTGAATTAAACATCTAATCCTATTTCTGTAAAATGTTATTGTACATAAAGCCCATTTAAAATTTGATAGGAAGTTGTAGTCTTTAATAGTTTAATAAGCATCTGTTAGAATTTAGTAAGAAGAACCACAATAACAATAAATTGGTTCAGGTCCCATTAATAAATTAAAACATAAATAAACATATATGTGGTTCTCTAGAAAGAGTGACTAGAGTAGAAAGCTATATAAGCAGTAATATTTAATATATATTATATTTCTTAACCATTTTAAAACCACAAATTCTCATTATGTAAGTTTTTTCCCTACTCCACCTTCACTGGACAAAATTTCTTTGACTTTGAGGTAAGTTTTACTTAAATTTTACATCTATGTAAAATACATATGTATTTTGTCCTTGCACTCCATTTTTAAAACTTGGGAGACAAACATCAGAAAATTCATAAATAGGTAAACGCTAACTTACTTAGATATGTACCATCATCACTTCAGCAAAATTCAAAATTTGGAATTTTTCTACTAATCCAATTAAAAACATACTTTGAAATAATTTGGGACTTACATAAATGTTGCAAAAATAGCACACAGCATTTCTACGTGCTCTTCACTCAGCTTTTCCTAATGTTAAAATCTTATATAAAATCTTAATCTTCTTAATAAATTAATTGCTATAATGTAATTAACCAAACTGCAAGCTATAGTTAAATTTTACTGCTTTTTTTCATTCATATTCTTTTACTCTTAAAATCCAATCTAGAATCCAATATTGTCTTTCATTTTCCTGTGTCCTTAGTCTCCTCCACAATTCCTCAATGTTCTTGTCTCTCAAGACCTTGATGCTATTGAAGAATACTGGTCAATTATTTTATAGTGGGTCTCTCAATTTGGATATGTCTGATGCTTTCTCATGACTAGATGAAGGTTACATATTTTTGGCAGGAATATCACAGACGTGATATACTTTCTTAGGCTATCATATCAGGGATTCATGATGTTAATCATATCTCATTAATGGTGATATTAACCTTGAACACTTGATTAGGTGATGATGGCCCCATTTCTCTAGGTTAAAGTTGGGGTAGTAATGTTAACAATTGCTATGTCTTTGGTGGCTAAAGATGATTTATTATTCATTTACTTCTTCTATACTTAATCACAATAGCTATTTAAGAAAAAACATCCCTTTATTTATTTATATCAGTATTAATTCGCATTTTTTCTAATGTGTAAAGAAACCCCAAACTCATTCTATAAACCAAATATTGTTACATATTAGTTCCTTACATATTTACTACAACTTTGGACTTTTGGAGTAATTTCAGTATGTTTCCTGGGCTCTTATAATACACCTTCATCCTTCCATTCATTTTTGAATACTTTAGTTCTGGAAGCACAAGAGATTCCAGGATAATCTTGTGTTTTCCTTAAAACAGCTCTGGATTCCAGTTATCAGATGAATTGCAGTATTTTTGATTTAAGAATAATATCAGAAAGCAAGACCTAGGTGCTAAGCATTCCCATAACTTCTTCTTGTGTTTCATTGTTTATTAAGTCCTTTGAGCTGACATCAACAGGAAATACATGTATGTATGCTCATGCATACAAACACATCTATATTTATTTCCGTATCATTCCTTCTATCGATACGTATATTAAGAAGGCATTAGTGCATAAGATTTTAATCCAGTGCCACACCTCCATGTAACTTTTCTCATTTTCTTATTTGTAACCATTTCCTTTGACAATAATGAATTTTACTCTCATTATCTACAGTATATATACGTGTGTGTTCAATCCCAGAATGCATGTAGAGCAGGACTGCAATCACTAAACAGGACCCATGTAAAAAATGCATTCAGTATGTAGAGTCTATTTCTCCTGAATAGCCATTTTATTGTCTCTAGAAAAATGTAGAATTAAAAAACTCTTTTCCAAAATGACTTAGGTTATATTTTCCTAATTTCCCTCCTTTTGATTATGGTATTTGTTCATAATATAACAAAGTATATTTGCAACAGTTTGTCTTCCATTTTATAAATATTTCCAAAGTTTTGTTTAATTATTTTCCAGAGTTTACAGTAATTAATATTTTACTCTATGTCATAGAAAATCCTGTGAACTTGGACCAGTGAATAGTCATGTGTTTACCATCACGTAATGCCACAGAACGGTTTTATCACTCTGCTTTTCTTTTACAGATCTTTTTAGTTTAGGTACCACAGGCTTTACTTATTTCTGTTCATTAGATTTTGAAATCCATTCACCTATTGAAGGATATTTGAGTCAATTCCAGTTTTTGCAGATCATGTATAAAGCTGCCATAAAGGCCTACATACAGGTTGTCATGTCAAAGTAAGTGAATACGTTTTCTATGCCTGCTACAACAAAACACCACAAGCTGGGTGGCTGAAAACAACACATTAATATTTTTAGATTTATCAAAATGGAAATGTCAACAAGGCCATGCTTCCCTTGAAATCTGTAGGGGTTAATCCTTCCTTCCTGGTTCCAGCTTCCAGTGATTTCTGGCAGTCCTTGCTATTCCTCTGTTGGAGATGCATTGCTCTGATCTCTGCTTTGGTTTTCACCTGGTGGTCTTCTCCCAGAGTCTGCCTTCTTATTAGAACATCAGTCATTTTGGATTAAGGACATATCTGCTCAGGTGTGACCCTATCTTAACTATTTACCTCCACAATAACTCTGCTTTTCAGCAAGGCCACGTGCAGGGGTACCAGATGTTAGGACTCAACATGTCTCTTTGAGACACAATTCAACCCCAAACACAAAGTTTTCTTCTTTCCTGGGTAAATGCTTGGCAGTAGGATTGCTGGGTGTTATGGTTAGTTTATATTTAATTTATAATAATCTTGTATCTTTCTACCTTGATAAACTCACTTATTACTGGGCATTTTTGTGAATTTCATGGAGTTATCTTGGTAGATAATCAAGTCATCTGCAAATAAAGAAAACTACATTATTTCTCTTCAGCTTGTATATTTTTATTTCTTTTTCTTGCTTATTGCATGGCCAGAACTTCTAATATTACAGATTTGAACTGGTGAAAGAATACATTCCTACGTTGTTTCCAGTCTTAGGGAAAATGCACATAATATTCCATAATTAAGTATATATTAGCTGCACTTTTTTTGCAGATACTCTGTATCTGTTTAAGAATCTTCCCATCTATTCATATTGTGCTGATAGTTTTTATGATGAATTAATTTTGAATATTGTCAAGTTTTTTGTCCGTTGAGAAGATATATGGCTGTTTAAATAAATCTGTCAATATGGTCATTTATAGAAAATATTTTAATATATAGATATATGCTTGCATTCCTGGGTGCACTCCAGTTGATATGGATATACTGTCCTTTTCACAAATAGCTGGAGTTACTATTATTTGTAAAGAATTTTCTTATTTGTTTATGAGGAATATTGACATGTAGTTTTGTTTGTAACATATGGTAGAGTTTATCAGTGGCATCAATTTTTACTGGAACTGCTCTTTGTTTTTGTAAAGGTTTTCAACGGACTTTTTGGTGATATATATATGCTTGTGTGTATGCATGTGCTTGTGTACATATTTATGTGGTTGTACATATATGGTTGTTTGTAAATACATGTATATGTTGTACATGCTAAGGTTATTTATCTTTCAATATAAATTTTGGTGGATTCTCTCAAGAACTTCATCTGAATGTATAGATATAGAATTGTTCAAAGTAGTTCCTATAATCTTTTTTAGTGTCTGTGGGATCAATATGTATCCTCCCTCTTTCAACTCTGCTAATAGTAATTTTTGTCTTATCTCTCTCCTTCTGTTTGCCCCTTGGTCTTTCTCAATAGAGATTAATACACTTTTGCAAAATTTTGAAAGAATCTGCTCTTGATTTCATTGTATTTATCCATTGCTTTCAATTTCACTGCTTGTGATCTAATTGTTTTTATTTCTATTTTTTTTTTCTGCTTGCTTTGGGTTTTATTTGTTCTTTTTTTTTTCTAATGGAAAATAATCCATCATATTTCTCATATTTACAAATTATTTCAAAATTTGACTTTAGGCTTAATTTAAAAGGAAACTTCAATAATGTCCAAAAAGTAAATCATACCCAATGAAAGTAAAAGAGTAATCCCTATATCTGAAGTCCAGAAAAATAAGGCAATTGTCTTAGTCACCCAAAATACTATTAAAAATTACCATAGACTAGTAGCTTATAAACAACTGATATTTATTTGTTACATTTCTAGAGGCTGAAAGCATGAGATTATGATGCCAGCATGATTGGCTTCTGACAAGGGCCCTCTTTCAGTTGCAGACTGCTGACTTCTGTGTCCTCACAGGCAAAAAGAGGCTGAGAGAGCTATCTGGGTTCCCCTGGGTAAGGGTACTAATCCCATTCATTAAGGTTCCGCCCTTGTAACTTCATTCCTATAGAATCCACTTTCTTCTACCCATCTTCTAATACCATTTCATTGGGATTTAGGATATTAAATATGGGGCTCACCTTCTAATACCATTTCATTGGCATTTAGATTTCAAATTTGAATTTTGAAGGATATAAACATTTAGTCCCTGAGATAATATCTGAAATAATACACAGTCTTAGAGATAAAATAGAAATTTTAAGACTAATTTCTTATGAAGGTCTTAATGATTTTATGATAGTAATTTTATTACAGTTGGTTTTGCACTCCTTTAATTTTTACCATGCTAGGCTCCTTAAAACAATTCTATCAGCTCACTTTCAAGTCTAAATATTACATTATTTCATCATTTCTGTGCCCCATTTTTTAAAATTGGACATATGGTTTGTTACTAGAATTCATATCAAGGTAGATCTTACTCCTCAAGCTTTTCTGACTTCAGTTATAGCAAGAATATTTTGTTAAACCAGTTTATTTTATCCCATCCAAGATTTGATGAAACTGAGTTTGGAAATCTCCGTGCTTTACAGCAACAGCAGGTGATTCTTAGTAGGAAAAACTAATATGAGTTTAATGAATTGGGGTTAATTTACAATGTTTAATATGTGTTACTGTTTCTCCCAAAACAATGAAACATCCCTAAGGCTAAAATACAATGTCCTAATATTTCTTTTTGTTTTTATAGCTCTTACCATGCAGTGAGTATTAAGGAAGAGATATTATCAAATTAAAACTCAAATTGAAATCATTTTGCATTTTATGTTCAAATATTTTGGAGATTTTTTGCTTACAAAGAAAAACAGAGATAAACAAAGGAAATAAAAAAGAAATCTCCAGAAATGTGCTGAAGTGGATAGTTTCGTCTGCATCTGATATTGCTTTTATGATCTATTTTGAATGTTTGTTAAATCAAACTATATCATATGGAAAAATCATCAGCAATATCAACAACAAAAACTGCTGTATCCTTTGTGATCACAAAATGTATGAAAAGCAATATTATTTAAAAGCACTTTTATATGAAATAACATCTGTCAGATCATTAAAACGTATTCCTTTGATGGATACAAGTTATTTTAAAAAATAATTTCTGGTATAAAAGTGGAAATTATTAACTAAAATACTTCTAAGTTCAAGTAAGTAGACACCAATGGTTATACTAAAAATCATGACAACTCTTAATATTTGGTTGCACCTTACATTTTTCTTCATATATGTGGTATTTTCACATTGTAGTAAGCATGCAATTCTTCACTGCATATTATTGTGCTTTAAAACATATGCAGTGGTATTATCTATACTTCACAAGTATCATAAACCATAATTTATTTACTTAACATTCCTAAAATTAATATTGTCCAGTACTTTATTATTATAAATGATAACATATTGAACATCTTAATCATCAAAGCATTTTTCAAAATTCCATATTGTTTAATGTTCTGAGAACAATTAATAGTTATATAGATATATTTTTAAAGTAAATAATTGATACACACTTATGCAATCACTAAAATCTCTATGACTAAGAACTGTATAAGCCTCTCAGAAGTCAACGTTTTATAAACAAGAACTATAATGGAAGAACGGTAACATTTCTTCGTATCAAAAAATAAATTGAATTTTTCATTTGCTACAGCAAGGCCTTCACAAAGCCAAGCAGTAGCCACCATTTTAATTAGTACATTAAAGTTTATGGAAAATAGGTGAGTAAGAAAAGATGTTAGCAAAAATGTTACGTAACAACTTTTTTTTTTTTTAATATCCAAGGAGACTATACCTCAAACACTAAAGCAAAAAAATAAAAATAAAAATAAAATAAATAATATAAAATAAATTATAACATAGAAACCGAAAATAACAGACTATTTTACTAGATGACAAATACTTGTTTAATTGTAATACAAGATTAGATTTCTAACCCTTTGAACTCCTTTAAGTGGTATCCTGTAAAACAGGTCTCCAACCCCCAAGCCATGAACTGCTACCTATCCATGGCCTGTTGGCAACCTGAGGACACAGCGTGAGATGAGGACAGGCCAGCCAGCTTTGCTGTCTGAGATCCACCTCCTCTCAGATCCACAGCAGCACTGGATTCTCATAGGAGCGCAAAACCTGTTGTGAACTGTGGATGTGAGGGATGCAGGTTGAGAGCTCCTTACGGGAATCCAATGCCAGATGATCTGAGGCAGAACCGTTTCATTCTTAAACCATTCCCCTCCACCCCATCAACCGTGGAAAAAATTGTCTCCCACTGAACTGGTTCCTGGTGGCAGAAAGGTTGTGAAGGACGACTATAAAAGCTTTCTCAATTTTTGAATATCATGTCAAGAAAATAGTATTTGAATAAGCCACATTTTGATCAGCTGTGTTTCAGCTCTGATTGAGGATTTAAAAAACAATTCTTTTTCTCTTACCTCCTTTCCTCTTTTCAGTGCAATACATGGCACTGAATTTTAATTGGTAGTTGCCTCTTTCTTGCATATGTTTGAAATCACCAATTTTACTGCATCTTAACCAACATTGATGTTCTCTATTTTAATTTTAAATTGTTACAAATTAATTATGGTGTACAGAAATATAGATACAGATATAACATTGTTTAAATTTACATGCAATTTTATTTTTAATCTAATTAATGTTTCTTATTTGTTAATGCAAAAGTGACCTTACAGACATACCTGATAGGAGATTTCTTATTATCTGGGTCTGTGGCAGATACCATGCCTACAAATAATCCTTGTGGGTTTTCTTCAAGAACTTCAAATATATAATATGGAAGGTGGAAAAGGGGAGGCTCATCAACATCTTCCACCTGGATCCTAATAAAAGTGGTGGAAGCTTCAGTGTGGTATTCCATGAGCTGCTCATCTACTTGATGGTTTTTAACTTTTGCTCTAATACCATAGTGGTTCTGGTGCTCAAAATCCACTTTCTGAGAAGAAATACAGCGTACACAGAAGAAATGGCTTTAGTAACCCAAGATATTACTTAGAAAAAAGGAAAGGATAATATCCAGAATCTACAAAGAACTTAAACAAATTTACAAGAAAAAAAACAAACAACCCCATCAAAAAGTGGGCAAAAGATATGAATAGACACTTCTAAAAAGGAAACATTTATGCAGTCAACAAACATGAAAAGAAGCTCATCATCATTGCTCATTAGAGAAATGAAAATCAAAACCACAATGAGAAACCATCTCATGCCAGTTAGAATGGTGATCATTAAAAATTCTGTAGACAACAGATACTGGAGAGGATGTGGAGAAATAAGAATGCTTTTACACTGTTGGTGGGAGTGTAAATTAGTTCAACCATTGTGGAAGACAGTGTGGTGATTCCCAAGGATCTAGAACTAGAAATACCATTTGACCCAACAATCCCATTACTAGGTATATACTCAAAGGATTATACATCATTCTATTATAAAGACACCTACACGTGTATGTTTATTGTGGCACTGTTCACAGTAGCAAAGACTTGGAACCAACCCAAATGCCCATCAATAATATATTGGATAAAGAAAATGTGGTACATCTACACCATGGAATACTATGCAGACATAAAAAAGGATGAGTTAATGTCCTTTGCTGGGACGTGGATGAAGCTGGAAATCATCATTTTCAACAAACTAACACAAGAACAGGAAACGAAAGACCCCATCTCCTCATTCATAAGTGGGAGTTGAACAATGAGAACACATGAACACTGGGAGGGGAACATCACACACTGGGGCCTGTCAGGGAGTTGGGGGTTAGGGAAGGAATAGCATAAGGAGAAATACCTAATGTAGATGACAGGTTGATGGATGCAGCAAGCCACCATGGCATGTGTATAACTATGTAACAAACCTGTATGTTCTGCACATGTACCCCAGAACTTCAAGTATAATAGAAAAAAGAAAAAAGATTTTACCTGTAAAATTCAGTGTCAGGGGAACTTTCAGCTAGGTTTTACTTTTTATATACATGGATCTCTTTGATATAATTGTTAATTAGACATTACAAATCTGTATGTATATTGTCACTTATTTTCATTTAGGAATACAATTATACTTTTGAGGACATAAACATCTAATGAAACTGAGAATGAATTTCCAAGTATTTAAGATATTTTTCAAAGAGTTTTCTTTTATTTGAATTAAAAATGTCCTGCATGTAATTCTAGAAGCCCTGTAATAATTACCTCATCTCTAAAGTCCTTTCCTCCAAAAAACATAAATTACAGGATCTCATTTCAATTATTTAATAAGATAAAACTAACCAGCTACACAAAATATGACTTGCTTTAATTTTACACTATTCTGTAAGACAAATAATTTTAACATGTCTACCTTTTTTAATATAACTATTCCTTCTTGAGTTTCATTATTAGTAATGATGTCAAATGTCTGTGAATCATCCTCTTCAATGCTGTACTCCATTTCTGCATTCTCTCCTATGTCATTATCATATGCCATGATTCTTCCTATGGAAGTCCCAGTAGGTGCAGATTCAGAGACACTCAGGCGGTATAAACCTTTAAAACAAAATTTGAAATATTTTTGATAAATATTTACCATAGGAAACTTTCAATTACAGCATTCTTTATATATGATCTGTAAGGAATCCCACACCTACCTTTTCCAGTTACTTGTTCTTAATCTTTTTTCCTTCCTTCCTTCCTTCCTTCCTTCCTCTCTCTCTGCTCCCATATATAATCGCTCCTATTTTTTGAAATATAAACATTTTCTAATATCCTATTTGATCATCTATCATCATCTCTCAAATATATCTTAGGAAAGCCTATCACCAATATTATTTCCATTTACATGCATATCTCCTCAATATTCATGTTTTAGTTTTTGTTGTAAGCTTCAACCATCATAAATTAAATTTGATGGAAATAATTTGCATTTTTTTCTTTAACATCTCTGATACCTGAGGTTATTGATAAATATACATGCAGAGTAAATGTGGGAGAGTCTAAATGCAAATAGTTTCATTCCAAGAACAATAGTTTGATTTTGAGAGTCTGAGCCTGCATTTTATTAGCATTAGAGGAAATGCAAAGAAAGATAGATTGAAAAGAGCTGGGTCAAATGGGATTTCTGTTTTTAGGGGCAGATAGAAACACTAAGGTTTCAAGAGGTAATGGGATAGGGCTGGACCGTGGCAGACTACTCAGACTTTTAAGACTCTTTGGGTGCTACTAAACCTAAGGACTGACTTCTCTGATTAATATGATCAAACTTGCATTTTAACAAGATTACAATCCTGTGTTGAAAATAAACTAAAGAAGAACGATGGCGTAAGCAGAGAGTCTAGATGGGAGCCTGTTGCACTAATAGAGATAAAATAAGACGGTGGTGTGAGCCAAGGTGGTAGGGATGGATTTGGTGAGAAGTGTTCACATCTTGGATATTTTCTAAGACTCAGACAACAACACCTGCAAGGAACTGAATTTTCACTCTGAGAGAAAGAAAAGTAGAAGTAGCTTCAAACTTTTAAGCAAGGAAGGAAGAGGGGGTGTGTATATGTGTGTGTTGTGTGTGTGCATTTGCTCATAGAATATTGAAAGTCAGAAACTATCATGATTGTGGAAGTTATCAATTCAGGCTGGGTTAAAATCATAGGTGAACTTGGTATGGCCACCATAATCTGAGTGGGATCATTAATTCTTCACAACAGTGCTGTTTGAATAGAATAAGCAAGGTTTTGGCTTGAACAATATGAAACCTGGATGTGTGAGTATCTGAGGTTGGAAAATCTGTAGAAAGAGGGAGTTCAGAGGAAGGGGCAGCTGAAATCAGGAGCTCGGTTAAATGTATGTTAGATTTTAAATGTGAAGATGCTGATTAGACAGATTTACTCTTGTGAAGCTCACCGGAGAAGTTCAGTCTGGAGATATATATTTAGAGGTTGTCAGCACAGAGGTGGTATGTAAAGCCATGTGTCTGGATAAGATCATACAGGAATGACTATAGAAAGGAAGAAAGACAACATCAAAGCCTCGGCTCACCAATATTCCAAAATATAAAGTATGTAGAGAAGAAGAAAAACGGGGACTAGTAAGATAAAAGAAAACGCTATTGAGAATGGAATATTAAGGTTTTCAAGGAGAGGTTGATCGATTACGTCAAATTCTTCCAAGAAATAAAGTGTCATCGAACTGAGAGCTGACATTGCAATTAATTCCGTTTAGGTTATTGAGAAATGATCAGATTAGTTTGGTCAAGTAATGTGGATGCAACTCATATGGAGTAAGTTTTGAGACTTTTGAGGTCGTTAATTAAAAACAGTAAGTTTTAAGAACATTTATAAGAAATTTTTCTCTAAAGGGAAAGGAAAAATACAAAGCATCTTTATTTAGCTGAGTATGGAAGTGAAGTCAAGAAAGTGTTTTTGTATTGTTTTGTTTAGGATGTGAGAAAAAACAGTAATAAACATGTCTGGATGCTGTTAGGTACGAACCAGCAGAGGACGCTGTTAACACAAGGGAGTGGGATGTTTGAGCGATGCCTTTGATTGGGAGGGTAGGGAGTATTGCCCATAACAGAGGGCATAGGTATTGAGTATTCAAATTGAGAGGAAGGTAATGGGATTCCCACAAGGGAAAACCGGATGCACAAGAGTAAGGAGGCCAGCATCAGGTCCACTCACACTCGTATTTGAATGAAAGTATTAATTGTAATATCATCATCTCATATGCAGATTCGGTTAACAGATAATTTTTAAACATATTTTAAATTTTCTAATTTATTCAAAATATTTTAATATTAACGTCTTGAAAAATCAGAGAGAAACCGATAAATGTAGTAGAAGCTTCAGGACATTTTATTGCAACAAGTTTCTTTGGGAATCTTCCTGGCTTCCATAGCCTTCTACTTGTCTTTTGTCATCATCTGCATAAAATTTGGACCACAATTTTATAATAAATCCAGCCACTCTTTCTCAGATATTAGATGCCAATTATTTTATAAAGTTCTATGTATTTCGTATTTAACTTGACATTATCCCCTTGCCTTTAGAGGCCATATTAATGCTGTGGACACAGTCCTATGCATCATATATTATACTACATGAAGAGAAATGAAATTACCAACTCTGGCCCCTTTGCCTACAGTCTATCCACAGAGTAACTGTTTTCTCAACCCATATAATAGTGATAATTTTTAATATGACAATAATTGAAATTGTGAGGTAGAGCAGATATTAAAAATTGAGGTTTGTAATATTTATGGAAAAATAAAAAGATCTGATAACCTTGCTTATGTTGGCTAAACTGAGTAGCGTCTGTATTACGTAGGTGTGTGCATTTGTCTGTGTGCACACACACATGTTAACAGATATTATCATGTCTGTAAATCCAATGAATGGTAAATTCAGGGTTTAAAAGCAAACTTGTAGGATGCCAACTTCCTGTGCTTATTCATGGACTCTTCTACCAGAAAGTTGTCAGTGAAAGCAACGTTTCACTTGGGCCATTAAAAATGACATGGGATGGGGCCAGCTACAGAAAGGATGAGGAAAAAAATAATCAAAAGATAGTTTTGTTTCTGTCTATAAACAGACAATATGTAAGAAATCATGCTATAGTATAATTTTTTATTGGCTTCTTGCTTTGTTCCATGCTAATTAAATTTTCTTCCTAGCATGATAATTACTCATGCTTTCTGGAAGTGCGTATAAATGTATTTCTGTAGCTAAAACAGAATACCCTGAAAAATAAATTTCCTAGAAAAGAAATTTCTTCAATGATTCTGTAAGAAATTTTTTATGAAGCATACCATGTGCTTATATTTAGCTTGTAGTAATTACTTAAATTTTTAGAGCACATGTGGCCTATTCTGGCTATAAAGTAAAAATAAATACAGATAGTCATTTTAAATGATTACCTACAGTTTGCAGAAGAAGTACCCCACAAAGATATCTGTGTCTAAATTCTGCTGAACCCATAAATATATTACCTGAAGTGGCAAAAGAGAATTAAGGTCACAGATAGAATTCAGGTTGCTAGTTAGCTGACCTTGACATGGGAACATTTTTCTGCTTATCCAACTGGGTTCAGTCTGATTACATGAGTGCTGAGAAGTGGAAGAAGCAAATGTGTGGGTTAGAGAGTTGTCAGTCTGCAAAGTATGTGGCACTTCTAGCTGCTTCTGGGATGTGTGGGCTAAATCAAGAGCCATAAATAAAAACAAACTCACACACACTCAAACAAAAGAACCATGAAGAGATCTTTAGGAATTAAGGATGTTTCCCAGCTTACAGTCATCAAGAAAACAGAGACCTCAATTATACAAACACATAAACTGAATTTCCTTAAATAAACTAGGAGATGAATATTCCCCTAAAGACTATAGCAAGAAACACCTCCCTGAATCCTTTGATCATAACCCAGTGAGACCTCATAATATATTTGTTTTAAGCCATGAATTTTGTGGCAATTTATTACAGCAGCAATGGAAAACTAACACATTGTTATTTCATTTGTATTTGACTTTTAACATGAATTAAAATAATTATACTGGAACAATCAACAAATTTAGTTTATACAATTCTAGTGCTTTCAGAATGTAAACTCTAAGATCCACTTATATTTAACACACTCAAATTTATATTGTAATGAAGATTTAGAATGTTTTTTACTTACTTTCTTTAAATATAGGCTTATTGTCATTAACATCTGAAAGTTTAATTAATACACTTGCTGTGCCAGACAATGCTCCTGGCTGTCCAATCATATCCTTGGCTTGAATGATTACCCAATACTCGTCTTGCAGTTCTCTATCCATTTTAGAAGATATTCTTATGACTCCTTTAAAAATGTAATAAAATTTCAATTATTTCATTATTAATCATGACAAATTTCTAGTTAACCTCCTAACCATTGCACTATACATTATTTTGCCATATGTTGAACCACTAAAATATGCCAGCGACTGCCCTGGTGAGAAATAGTAATAATAAATTAAACATCAACACTGCCTAGAGTCTACAGTGACCATCACAATACTAAACGCTGGTAGGCCTTAATAAAATACATGTTAAAGTATTCCACAGGTAGAAAAGAAGAATGTCTTGTTTTTTACTTTAACTTATTTTCTTCTATCTTCTCTAACATAATATAAGCTTGTTACAATTACCTTTCTTCCTGAAACTCTGAAGTTAGTGTATTATTGATAAATGTGTAAATTACAACCAAATTTATGAAATAAATAATGTGTCCTTATTACTTTAAAGTCTACTTAGAATTATGAGATCTGAGGAAGACCTGGTTGTTGACCCACAGTTATTTTATATATATACATATATATATATATATATATATATATATATATATATAGAGAGAGAGAGAGAGAGAGAGAGAGAGAGAGAGAGACATATAAAAATGTAATATATTCAAATTCAAGTTAATTAATGATAAATATTCCAATAAATGCTTAACTTCTATAAAATTATTTGGTATAAACTAATTAACAACCACTGAAAAGAACCTAAGACAGTCTTAAGACAGGTTTATAGGAGAGGGCTTAACATTTCTAAAGATTTGGGGAACACACACAAAAATAGATAATTGCCAATACCCAAATATATCAAGGACAAAATATTCGTTAAAAAATATGATTTCATGGCCATAAAGATGGAAACAGTAGATGCTCAGGACTACTACAGAGGCGAAGTGGGGAGAGAGAGTTGAAAAACTAGACAGGATCACTAGTACCCCAAACCTCAGCACCACACAATTTACCCATGCAACAAACTTGCACCTGTCCTCCCTGAGCCTAAAATAAAACTAAATAAAAAATGCAATGAACTAGTGAAAAAAAATAGCCGTATGTTACGAGTATAAAATGCACACCTGATTTCAAGACTGAGAACAAAAAAAAATGTGAAGTGTCTCCATAGTTTTCTATTGACTATTTGTTGCAATGGTAATATTTTTGATATATTGGATTAAATTTAATGCAATATAATTTTTTAAAAAATTGTTATATGTATTTTTTAAAAGATAAATTGGGCCATAACATGAGGGGATTTTAGTTGTGAACTAAAGTGTTTCACAAATTCAATCAATTATTTGAATCCCAATGGAAATCATTGAGTATGTTGTGCTAGTGCCACTAGCATCTCCCTGTATGTGACTTAAGGGAGAGGTAAATAGGAGTCTTTCTTCCCCATTTACTGCACCTGCTTCACTTTCATCTTTTCCTCTCAGCCTTTAGACTATGTAAAGGATAGGTATTTCTGGATCTTGTGCACTTCAAAACTTATTCCTTCAGTGATTTTATCCATGCTTGTCCATACCGACTCTTCTATAGCAATGCAAGTCATAGTTTTAGCCAACCTACTCAGTATATTTTAAAAAATCAGTGTTCACGGTAAGGGCTGGGGGTGGAAAGAAAGCATGGTCAGAAAGGTCAGGTATGACTCAGAATGTGTCTAGACCCTGTACACCTCCCTTTCTTCTTTCTTCCGTGTGTTCTAAACAGTGGAGTCTAGTTAGTATAATCAACTTTTTCCCACCCCAGGAATTTCCCTAATTCTTCCCATGCCCTGGATCATCTTCCACTCTCTCCTCCTTGTCTGCAGGCTCAGCTAATCATTCTGGTTTCAGGGTACTTTGTCTTCAACATAAAATATAGTCAGCCTCACTTTTTTTCTCCTGCTGAAACTTTTTGGTTTTACTTCATAATTACCTGCAGTGGAACGTATGTGTTCATTACCATTCATGTTTAATATCTATCCATAAGTTCCAAAAAAAGAAGAGTCCATGGTTATGTTTTGTTTTTGTTACTATTACGTATTATTTTAAATTTTGCAACGTTGTACCTTTATAAATCTAGTAAGTTGTATAACACTTGGTACATATTTAGCTTTTCTAGACCAAAATGTATGAGGGAATTAAAGCCTAATGTTTTGAGGTATCCATTGTGCATCTGGAAGAATAAAGACTATATGCCATTCCTGAAATAATTAAGAACATAGTCACTCAAGTAATAATTTTTAGAATCTGATTCTGTCAAGAAACCTTAATTGAAAAAGGCTGAGACATTCAGTAATTGCTAAATCAATGAATAAGAAATGTTTAAAGAGCCAACACAATACTTTACTTCTTTAAAGGTTTTAATGTAAGCTGGAAATAATATTATTCTGGTATTAAAAACCATAGAATTTTAGTTCTTTGGTGCTTATCACATTATTGGGTCATTAGTTATATGCATTTTTTCTTTTTATCACCAGAGACTCCTAAAGGAAAAAACATTATGTGGGTATAATTTTGTTTTAAACACAAAAATTAATACTTGTTTAATAAATTAGGGTCATATGATTGTTTAAAATAAAAGAGAAAAAATCTGTTTTCTGTTTATTTTATATTCAATTAATACAAATTCGTAAAGCAACGCTACAAAAAGAATTAAATATTGTATTCATGTAAATTAGAAAGATGTAAAATACAGAATTATTTTTAGGTGAATGTCTCATATCAATCTGTACACTTAGCCTTATACTCAGAGTTAATCTCAGTTTTTCTGTAGGGGTATGCGGCTGTATCTCATTGTGGTTTTAATATGCATTCCCTGATGACTAATGTGGCAAGCTTTTTTAATATGCTTACTAGCTTTTTGTATATTGTTCTTTGTCAGTTGCTTGTAAATGCCTTTTTCCTATATTTTTAAATTGGGTTGCTTGTCTCTTTTTCTAATTCATTTAAAAGAATCCTTACATATGATTTATACTCCTTACGCAAGTAATTTGTGGGACGGACATGGAAAATCCAATCTCCTAATCTTAGAAATAGCAGCTAAAAGACTAAAAGTAATTAAATGCTTAGGAATTGTAATTATTTTACCTACTGATGTATCAAGTCTATTGTAAACATGTTTCTAAGCAGATAATTTTGCGAACAATTAATTGCCTTCTTTAGAATCATGTTAAATTTCCCTGTTTGCTTCACAAATACCTGTTGTTGGCTCAACAGAAAAATATGGCTGGCCTTGTAGTAAGCTGTAGAGGAGGCGAGCATTATTACCACTTGAAGGATCATCAGCATCACTTGCTGTCACCTGGATGACTAATGTACCTATAAAGAACATAATACAGGAAATTAAGGCTGTGGTCTTATTCAGGAATAATTCAGTTCTGTGAAGCAGTCTTTCTTTACTAAGTAAGATGATGTTATAAAATGAAAGCTCAATTTACCTCTTTGTTTTTAATTGTAAAAGTAATACTTTTTTTACAGGCTAAAGAATATAACTTTTAATAGAAAATATTCCTAATTTCCATATGCAATATGGAATTATTAACATGTAGATTGTTGGCATAATAAATGTAGCTATTAATTCATTGTAATGTGTAATTTATAAATTCATAAACTTTTCCAAGGTGTATTATTAGTGGAGGAATTAAAAGGAGTTTGGAAATTATTTTCACCAAAATATATAGTATAGCCTGTACCGTAAACAAATTGGAGAAGGTTGATAAATATTTACAAAGATTATTGAAATGAGCTTCAAAGAATATCCACTTGAGGATAAGGATGGGCATAATTATATAGCTTCTTTAATTCTCTTCTCTAATATACCCACTTGCTTTGATAAATTTTTTTAAAAGCAAAGTAATATTCCCCTCCCTGTGTCCATGTGTTCTCACACTGGGGACTGTTGGGTATGGAGGGATAGAGGAGTAGTAGCAGGGGGTGGGAGGATTGGGAAATGATAGCATTAGGAGAAATATCTAATGTAGATGATGGGGTGATGAATGCAGCAAATCACCATAGCACATGTGTACATATGTAACAAACCTGCACATTCTGCCCATGTACTCCAGAAGTTAAAGTATAATGAATTAATTTTTTTAAAAAGTTTAACTGGCAAAAAAAAAAAAAAAAAAACTCACATTGTGTTTTGTATCCTAAATACATACAATTATTTTTTTTTGCTAGTTATATTTAATAAAGCTTGATGGGAGAAAACAAAACAAAGCAAAGTAAAATCTTGCAGAACTGGATAACATATGCATTCTCTTTAAAATTCAGTAACAAGAAACAAAATAGTATGGAATATTTATTTATACATTTAAAATTACTGCTCAGATTTTTAAAATATTTATTTAAAACTATTGAGCTTTCAAAGTATCTTCTGTAAACATGGAATTGAATGTTATGGATCTTGGAAATATGTATTGGTTGAAACACTATGCTACATATCAACAAGAATGGCAACACGAATGACACAAAATCAAATAGCTGATACACAGTAATAGGGATCCATTCTATACTTCACTTACATGAAACTCTTACTGTGGCCCTAAATAGTTTGTATTCTTTGCTGTTTTGTCTTAGCATTTTTACAATGCTATTTAACATTTGTTTTAATATCATACAGCATATTTTATTGAAGTAGAATTTCCTTTTATTCATATAACTTTAGTAATACTTTTATCTGATTCAAAATCAAGAACAATAAAATGGATGAGAAGAAAATCATTTGCCTCCTTTTTACAAAACTTACTTAATTCCTTCAACTACTCACCATGTAAGACACTTAACTAGTTTCAGATTTTTTTTTTTTTTTTTTTTTTTTTTTTCTTAAATGGAATCTAGCTCTGTTGCCCAGGCTGGAGTGCAGCGACACCATCTCAGCTCACTGCAACCTCCACCTCCCTGGTTCAAGCAACTACCGCACCTCAGCCTCCAGAGTAGCTGGGATTACAGGCACATGCCACCATGCCCAGCTAATTTTTTCGTATTTTTATTATAGACGGGGTTTCATCATGTTGGCCAGACTGGTCTGGAACTCCTGACCTCAGGCAATCTGCCCACCTCAGCCTCCCAAAGAGCTGGGATTACCGGCATGAACCACCATGCCTGGCCAATTTCAGATGTTTTAAAGTAAATGTATTGAGTAATTTTGAAAAGTTATTTCAACAAAATAGTTCATAGGGACCAACACTTTCATTGATCTATGTTGGGCAAGATTTGTTCTTTTAACTACCCTTCTATGCACTGATCCACTTACTTATCCCACATTTCCTCATTGTAATTCTCTATCATTTCTTTCCATAAGGGTTTCCCATCCCTGGTTTCTAGAACTATATTTTCTATCTTTGGCTTTAGACATCGTAATGAAAATCATAGCATTTTTAGAGTTGACTAAAATAAATTTTAGTAATATAAGTCTTTAGAGTCCCTAAGGTAGTACTATACAAATGAGAACCAAGAAATCCAGAAAATGCAATGACTCACAGAAGATGACCTTACACTTTGATAATAGAAATATGTCATAGAGTAAGATTCTTTTCTCTATTCCTGTTTTGTTAGTGAACTTTTTCTATTAAAATTAATTTTACTGTATATTTTTAAGGTACACAACATGTCATGTACGTAGGTAGTAACATGGTTACTATAGTGAAGCAAATTATATCTATCATCTCACAAAGTAACAAGGCTATAGAATTGGTGTAATTCACCAATGTTTTAGAAATGTTTACTTTTCAGTAAGAACTGTCAATGGCTATTAAGTGATTCACTCCTTATATTTGTGTTTGAGAAGATGTTTATATGTATATATAGGCATATATGTAGCGATCTACAGGTATATGTGTATATATATCTACAGGTATATATGTGTATCTATGTATATACATGTATCAAATCAAGATGGCAAAAATACCCAGCAGTATTTCCAAATATTCAGTGATTGTAGTTTTTCCTTATTTTTTACTCATACCTTGAAATATTGGCTGTCAAATTTAGATGAATCTTAGCAATGTTTAACTTTTACAGGATCCTAATTATCTTTATTTTGATTTATTTAGTTTTTTCCTACTTTCTTTTTCCTGTTTCAGTTATTATTACATCATGATTTATAAAATACAGTTCAAGAAATTTTAAGTCCTCTTGGCTAGTTTCTATTTTTTTTTTTTTTAAGAGAGAAGTAAGCCTGTATGTTTTCCTAATCAGTAACTTATATTCTCCAGAAGTCCTTAAGAAATAGTCAAGTAACATGAAGCCATTGTAATAATAATTAAATGTAAAATCAGACAAAATTGTAAAAATATTTGACAAATTTTATGAAGGCTTGTTATTTGTAAGTGAATCAATTTGCACATTCACCCGTGGTTGTATAGTCCACACAAAATTGAAAACACTGCTATGAAAACACGAAAGTTCCTTTCAATGGAAATGATCAATTGTCTCATAGTGCCCCTTTCCTACTTAAATATAGGTTATCCAACACTTGATGGTTTCGACAACGAATGCTTAATTCCTACATAATTTTTATAAGAACTTATTTAATTATTTCGATATTTGTAATATCAGAACTGTATCATGTTTGGGTCATAATCAATGCCACTACAATGTTCTTTTCAAGTACTGGAAGCTTTCTAGGCTTATGTAATTACTTCTGTTCATGTCCTGATTCTTGTTTCCTCTCAGAATCACTCCGAAGAGGTTTATGAGAAATGTGGCTACTATCCCCAGTCATCCCATTTCCCAGAAACAGTGCAGTCATCATGATGAATTGCTGTTGTGTTCTAAAATATTATGGCTACTATCATACACAAGAACCACTGTTTATACAGGCCATGTCTGTATCCTCATGAAACGGTTTTAAAATTTTATTTTCCATGGAAAATATATTTTAATTTTTATATAAAGAAGAAAAATAAAAAATACATTAGACCTATAAAGTACATCTATAAATCAACTTCCATTTGCAACAAAAACTTTTTTAAAATTATGAATAAAAGGAAACTTTCTGAATCTGATGATGAATGCTTTTAAGCCTTGACAATTATATTTAATTGTGATGTGTTCAAACTTTTCCTCTGAAATAATTTAAAAAAAATGTTTTTCTGTCACTATTTTTTTCAGCACTGTACTAAACTACCTAGACAATGAAATAAGGTAATACTATGCATTTATAATGCATTTATAGACAAGTAGACAGATAAATACTGGAAAGGAATAAATAAATAATTTTATTTAAAGTCAATAATATTTTTACTGGAAAATCAAATGAAATATGCATATTGTTACAGAAACATTAAATTCATACATTTAACAACTCAACAGGAACACAAATGCTATATAAAAGTGCATTTTTATACCAGAATATATATACATATATATACATACATATATATATATATATATATATATATATATATATGTATATTCGTGAAACCTATTTTAGTTAAATGTATAATACATATGAAAAGAAATAAAAATATTCAGGAATAGCCTAACAAAAATTATAACTTCTGCAAAGCAAGTTAAACTAATGAGACAAGTAAATAGATGAAAATACTGAATTTAGGAATTAGGTGACTACTTAAAAATAAAAAGATACACGGTTTAAAAGCTATCCCAATCAAAATCCTAGTAGATTGTATAAATGGTTAGCTTGGAAAGACAGTCACACAATCAATAAAATATGTACCACAAAACAAGGCCCAAGCATGGCCAAGGCATTTTTTTTGTTTGTTTGTTTGTGTGGTTGGTTGGTTTTTGCTTTTGTTTTTTTGAGGTGGAGTCTCGTTCTGTCAGTCAGACTGGAATGCAATGGCATGATCTCTGCTCACTGCAACCTCTACAAGGCAATTTTATTGAAGAAGAATACCTACAAAAGTTGCACCAATAAGGAGCAAAGGCCTAGGATAAAACTACAGCAGTTAAGAAAATAATATTTGCTCTGGAGCAATAACTAGCTAGTAGAGCCAACTAGCGAATCATAGATAAGATTATGCAAATACAGGAAACCTCTTCATGAGAAGGTGACAGAACTGATAATTAGGGAAACTTTTCAGTAAATCTCAGGGTCAGTTGGATGTCTTCATTTATCTGTCCATCTATCTAACACATATTTAGTGATCCACAACTCAGCACCTGCTCTACGCCATTCACAAATATCAGTTTAAAGCAGATTGTAGATCCAAATGTGAAAGGTGAATAATAAGAAAAATAAGAATATAAGTATTAGAATAATAAAACTTTCAGCAAAAAGGAAAATAAAGGGGAAAAAGCAAAAATTTCTTAATCAGGGCATATATATGGATATAGTATTTATGGAAAACATA